TTTTTGTTTTTCTTCTCACCCTTTTTTAAAGCACTTTTTATGTGTTTTATTCTTTTTTTGAGAATGTATGTATTTGCATTATAATTATTTTTGTGGGAGGTTTTTTTGTTTTGTTATTCTTTTAAAATAAAAAAAATCAATTAAAAAAGAAACCTCTTGGGTAATGGGAATTTTGTGTTTACCATATATTCCTGTTCTTTAGAAATGTAGGAAATAAGTCAGTACTTTGGAGATGCAGCCTCTCTTCTAGTCAGGAGGCATAGCCTACTGCAGCTTTGTTTGTAGTCTGTTTATTAGGGATGATTACCATGGAAGTTTAATTTTTTAATTGTATATTTTCTTGTTGTTAGCAGTTGAATGTCTTGTAAGATTTGGCAGTGTACTAAATTATAATACCCACCCAAATCCTGCCCCTCAATACCTAGAAAACTTTGGAAACTTTAGGGTAAGTAATAACATCAGCTACTACAACTTCTTATATGGTAGGAGAATATCTACCGAGAATGTATTATATTCTAGGTGGTCTCAAAAACAAGATGATTTCAACAAACATCTGTTGGGTAATCTCAAAATAGATTTGCAGGTACACAAATTGTTCTGATTCCTAGATTTTAAATTTGCTCAGCCATGCTATAGTATTCCATATTCCTGCCAGATGTTCTACCCCAACTGATCCATTTGTCTGCTGTGGGTTAGAACATGCAGGCCTATTATTGTAGAAATCATGATTTTATCCCTGACCTTGCTGCGATATAGCTTTGCTGAGGAGGTATTTCTGCAGACAAATATACATTGATGTCTTTTGGAATGTCTGAAATAGGCATTTTTATAATTCAAACCAATTGATGCTTCCTTTGTTCGTTTTAGTTATGCCATATGCCCCAATTAATCATCTTTAATACGTCTGCCCAAAAATATGGATCACCTCATGGATAACCTAGAGTGACCCTCTTTGGCAATTGTTTCTCTTCCAACCATTAATTATTCTTGATTAATTTGGGGACAATTAATATAATGATTTGTCAGGCTACCATGCAATTGTCTTAAATAATAGAAGTATGTTCCTGCATTAAATCAGTCTCAAGACATGATGTCCTGCATGCTAAAAAGTTGTGGAACCATCATTAACCTAATCAGCTTGACTAAAGGAATCTGTTCCACAGTTGAAAAAGACATGGAATACAACAGTATTTCATGCAAACTCTCCCAAAGAGCCATCTTTTGTTTTCGGAGTCACTGAGTTTTTCCCAAGTACTGTATATGAAAAATCCATAAATATCCTCCTCAGCCAAGTGTGGTTTATACACCATCTTGGCTTTGGATCATGGCTCTAGAACAAATCAAGAGAATGTCCAAGCATAGAGAGTTTATTCTCAAACCATGAATGTGATCAGAATTTTGGTGAACATCCCAAGGCTCAATATGAGCGCAAAGGGTAGATCTATGAGAATCAACTAAACTTTCTGTGGAAAGGAGAAGGAGATGAATACTGAGAGTCCAATGGATGCTAGCAAATCCTGTGATTTAATAGCTGATACTTTGGATTGGAAGTTCTCCATCCTGAAAGTCTTCTTCATAAACCTGTTTAAATATATCCAATTCTGCACAAGTCTAAAAACACTCATAATTTCCTGCACAAAGTTCCCCAAAGTGTTAAAGCTGAGCAAGTTGGAATAAGTTGTTATATCAAGTTAATGTATGTGTTTTCTTAAGTAACACGACTCTGCCAGCTATGTCACTGGCATTAATTTGGAACTTATTTTTAATTAGAGGTGTTGCAAAATAAATTACAGTAAATTCTCCTCTCTTTCACACACACACAAACATGCAAAGATCCAAATTGCAAATCCGCAATCACCCCAAGCTTCTAGATGTCTGAATGATATTCAAAAGCATTTTTAATATTTAGATGTGAACCACGTGAATATATTAGGATACCTAATATATGCTAACAAATAAAAAAGAGGATACCTGGACAGAACAATTAAGCATGTATGTATCTGGGTTATGAGGCCCCTATAAAGCTAAACTTGAGTTTGCCTCATTCATTATACTAGTATTAACATTTTTAAGAAAGAAAAGTTCTCCAAATAAACAAAAGTCTTTTCTAAAGACAAAACCACTACACCCTGCTCTCTGGAGAGGGAACCCAGCTGTGAAATACAATGTAATACATCAGTGGAAGTTTCACTGTTTTGCTTTGAAGTTTGATTTCATGAGCCTCACAGTGGCATTGCATTCTTCTAGAGCAAGCACATTTGTTCGGTGGAAAACAGGTGGTAGATTGACAGGTCTAGTATATGAAGCTGATCGTAAGACCCAGTAGCTCCTGGAATGCAATCCAATTTAAAAAGTTGTGATTCCTCCTCTTAGCCTGTGCCCTGTCACCATATGTTTTCTTGCTGCTCCACTTTTTATTCCTTTTTAAAAACATTTTCACCAGCAGATATTTGTTTTCCAAAGGCTGATACACAAATTTAGTGGTATTAAAACTTCTAATACTAATATTAGTAACAATGTGGTTCTCTCATTGGGCCCTATCTTAATGTTCTGTCCATTCTCAAAGTCTATCAAAACACAGAATGCAAAGGAAAACTCTGGGATATTGTTAAAGTTGGTAATGTTTGCATAGATGCTATTCCTTTCTACTCTCTCAGGAAACTGTGGATCACAGAAGTCAAGTGTTCCATCAGTTCCAAGCTACAGCACCAATGTTTTTTAGTGTTAAAAACACACAATTGTTTATTCCTGTACTAAATGCTGCCAGTCTCTTATGTCTCCATTTCAGCGCAAGCTATTAAAACATCTTTGTTTCACACTTGTGAGCTAAACTGGTGGACCTTCTTTGATTTTGTTCAAAGATACTGATGTATATGTACCATTCCATACTGCTAAAGAGGAACTGGGATCTATTTAGTCATACCTAAATACACATACCTTATTATCAAATTTGTTCATTCCTTACTTTAGCCTAGACTTTATTAATCCATTTCATATCCCAAAGAGCCTTGCAGATGCTCTGATTGAGGTTCATTATAGAAATGTGAAAGCTAGAGAGGAGGGGGCAGAGAAATGGAAGAGAAAAAGAAGAAAATGATTCTGCCAGGAATGAGGAGTGTGTAAAAGCTAAGCACTCCCTAACTGAACGTTTTAAATTTTAAAGGAGTACAGTAAAGGCTGTCTTCAATTCCTGAAATCTCTTCAAGAGCAAAAATGGGAGTATAAAACTCTATTGAAAAAGAAAATAAAAAATAAAAAGAGATGTTCAGAAAGCTCTCTGGGAAAAATTGATTCAGGCCTCCAAGATCAGAGATAATACCATGTTTTGGTATATCATCTCTGACCATATGAGAGAAACTAGCCCTAAATTAGAGGTTCCAATTATGGCTTCCACATGGGAAGTTTATTACCAATCACTTTATGCTTCTGAAAGTTGTAACTCTATAATCACCAAAGATGTTCAGGAGAACCCACCATATTGGCCTCCTGTCACTCCAAATGAAATCTCCAAACTAATC